GAGCAGTCCCAAAGCAGCCTATTTCTTATAAAACATCACTTGAACCAGCTAGTTGGGAAATTGTGAAAAGGACTTTGATGGAGAGACTTTTATAAGAACCAAGTACCAAGCATGAGAGGTCCTAACCCTGTCAGTACAACAAAGGAAACAAATAAAAGAATGAGAAGGGGGAGGGCAGGAAGAGGCAAATGATGAAAAAACCTTTGGCAAATTATTATTTTTTTAAAAAAAGAATCAACTAGTGGCAGAAGTTAGGTGTAAAGGTATTGAACCTTAAGGTATAAGGAAAGCGTAGGAATTAGGACAATAGAATCGTATACTCTCTTTTTCTCTCTTCTTTCTTGGTATGTGCCCCTGTCCTAGCAGCTTTGAAAAATGGAACCCTAGAAAGAGTTCCATAATAGAGATAAAGACATGGCTGCTCCACCTACACTCCACATTATTCCTTCCCCCCGGAAAGGGACAGGTAGGGGTTCTTTACCATTTCCCCCATCCTTTCTCCAACTCAAATAATCACAAGTGGAACTTTGTGCTCGTGGGAATACTTGGGAAGCCACAATAAGATTGAATTTGATTTGATTTTGAGGCATTTGTTACGGTAATTGGATATCAGTAACACTCTTTAAACAACAACAAATCGAGACGTGCAGTAAAACAACCAAGAGTTAATCCTCTCTATGATTGTCGCCAACAGAATCAACTTTCTACAGGGATCATGACAAACACATGCTAAAATGATTTGGTTGCTGGTCAATATCAAAAAATACAACATCAAATGGTATAACTGTGTTTTTAAGTCATGAAATAAGCATGCAAGTTGATGAAAAAGGTTCAAGTCATCACAAATTGAAAATGGATATGCAGCAAAGGCGTAAAGGAAAATCTGCATACAAAGTTCAAATCACGTGATATACTAATTTGATGGCCTCAGATGTAAAGAGATGCACCATTATTTCACAAAAGAGATGAAGACTGCTGAAACAGGACTGTACAACAAGCAAACCCAGAAAACGATGGACTGAGAGACTACTATTTGCAAACATAGGAAACCCAGTTCAACTGAAATGAAATATACATGGCACTGTTAGGCAGAAGAATACCGGGCTGAGGATTTGCATACAAGGATATTTCAATTCATACATACAGTTGTTACTTATAGCACCATAAGCATAAGCTCATTACTGTCATTATCATTAACACTCTGTCGACCTAAGCATCATGACTAACCAGATTTGAAGAGCAAAACTGCCTTCTGGTCTAAATAGAAGTAGACAAAGTGGTTTGTTTCATGAGTCACATACGAACCTGCAGAAAAGTACAAGAAATGAGAACGTCAGTTCTAGTTATTTTGAAAACTAACCTAATAATTCTGTGTTTATTCATTTAGTTAGAATGAACCATACCAAATGGAGATAACTAAGTTAGCATAGCAATATCAATGGCAAATTTTCATTTTAGACAAAGAACTTGAAAGATAAGTTGCCAATAGCATATCAAAGGCAAAAAAGGTGATTCATGGTTAGGATACTGGCCAAGCTAGCCTGTCTTCTGGATAGAGATGTACAGAGATTGCTCAGTTTATGCATATAGAACACTGGAACTACCACAAATGATTTGCAGGAATAAATGAATAAAGATTGCTGTCATCTTTATGAGTATGGGCATCAATCCAGGTTACATCAATCATTTAAGAATTCGTCATTATAAAATTTTGGATGGCCAACGAGCAATGCCTGAAAATGTCTCTTAAAAGATGCTCTCAAAGATCATAATCAAAATATTGCATTAGCCCTGTGAGAGGGACAGTATGTGATAGTAGGCAAGGATTTATGCTCTCTTTTGAAAAATAATAGAACGAGTTATTATTTTAAGCACATTTCCATTTTCACAATTCATTGAAGAATCAGCTTTAACTGACCCAAACAACAAATCCTTTACCAGAATGGATAATTCAGATTTCAGAATCCAGTCAATTGGTTTTTTCCTCAGTTAGCAAACTCAGCTTGTTTTTTGCAGATCAACAAGCAAATATATAGCTTGTAGTTTCCAGGAAAAAAAATAGAGAAATGGGATTGACCATGCTTTCCTTGTTAACAGAAATTGATATAGACTTTAAGCTTAACTAAGTACACAATAAAGGAGTATCTATGCTCATAAAGCCCTGAAGCAATTGAGACAAACTCAATGGATGATGTATTCTTTCAGATGCCACTAACAATGTAACCTAGCTCAGAAATGAAAATCATGTCTTTGTCTTGTCAAAAACATTTATAAAATATAAAAATGTCACTCCAAAGCCACAAAGATGGCTTTTGAATCTACCAATTTCTAACACCTTGCGCAGAACATGCTTACAAGTTATAGCAGGCTATAGCAAAATGTTAAATTAATGATTTTGAATTCAACTAGATTACTGTGTCCCCAGAAAAAGCATGAGCAGGAGGGAAATAAACAATTTGGAACTCTCATAACTTGGTATTATCCCCACAACTTCATCAAAAAGTTTTGCAGGGAAATTCAGAAAGGAATTAAGACAACCAACACAAAGTAACTAGCATCAAGATTGTTCTGCCAATAGTCATGTTACCCAACAAAACCTTCCTCTTAGCCATATGAGACATAAGGATTTATGGCATTACGTCTCCATTTTAAAAACTACATTGCTTATCTACCAAATTTTGTTTGTTTGCAATGAAGATTTAAACTACACCAGCCTGACTGATTTTAATATTGACCAATATAAAATTCTATTTTGGATAAGTATTAGTAAAGAATAATATGCTTGAGACGTTTCATTGAAAAGTTAAAACTCAAAAGCAATGAATCAATGAGATCAATAGACCTTCAACCTATTTTACATTGGTTTACATATTCCTTAGATTTGGATACCAAAGATATAACTCAATCCAATCAAATTGATGATTCATGCATACAAACAGGGAGAAACTTCTAGAAGCGAAAAAGAAAAGTTATTTTTGCATTTTTGCTTTTTCTAGGCTAGCTAAAGCTTTACAGAATTTAGTGGCACATAAATAACGATACCAGGGTAAACACAAACAAGCAAGTCAACATAAGATCTGCAACACTTAATTATGTTTTTGCTTATTTATAAGAAATAAAAAGAACATATCCAAGATGCACTTAATTCCATTTTTGCTTATTTAGAAGAAATTAAAAGGACATATTCAAGATGCACTGAGATCTTGATTTAGAGGAAAACCAGATATCTACTGAAATCTAAGAAGTAAAACATCTGCAGCATTCACTCATAAAGACTGCCATAATCCTAGATCAATCTCATATTCACCAATTCAACTCCAAAATCTTGATTCATTTCCCAAGTAATGAATGCCCAAATAATTAAATGCACAACAACTTCTATAAATTATTACTTGAGGTACCCCCAAACACAGCAAATATGCAAATCAAATCTAAATAAAACCCAAAAAGGATGAAGAAGACCCACAAAGGAAGGAGAGCAAGGAAAGGAATTAGACAAAAGGGTTTACCAAAATTGCGGCCAACGATGCAGTGCCAAGTGGGTCCATGTTTCTTATCGAATTCCTTCTTTATGTGCTCAGCGACATCCTTCTCCACATTATGCTTATCAAACGCCTGAAAACCCACACACAGCTCAAAATCAAACACTCCCATTTGCCATTAATACCCAAAACCCATAAACAGAATCAAATCACAAACCCGCAAAGCAAAAAGAAGGAAACGACTTACGGCGATGGCGATGTCAACTGCTTCTTTCTGCATGTCTTCCTTCATGTCGGCGCTCTTGATGATGAAGCGCTTACCGGAAGCAGGACCAGTAGCAGCAGCAGTAGCCGCGGCAGATTGCTTCCGATCATCGGAGCTGGGTTTGATCACCGTAGCTCCGGTGACGCTTTTCTTGGCATCCTCAGTACTCATTTCGTAGTGGCTGGGTCGATTTGAAAACAGAAGAGTCTTTGATATTTCTACGCGAAGCTGAAGAACAAACCTCCACTTCTGCCGGTAAGTGATCACTCTTCTTCATTGAAGTTGCATTATTTAATTAAAAATGTTTTTCTTTTTTTTGAAGTACGGACGGTAAAAAAAAGTGCAATTTAGTTGCTAATATTACCAAATTATCCTTAATAAAATCATCTTCCATGTGTATTTACTGATGATATTTTTGGTAATTTCAACTCCTTCCAAATTTAATAATCTTATTATGATTTTTTTTAATTTTTTAAATATAAATTTTATATGACAATTTAATATATTATATTATGAAATTGGTGTTTGTTCATTTTATTTTTAAAAAATTAAGAAGAAAAAAAATAAAAATCACTTTAATACATCTTTTAAAAATAAAATAATTTAATTTTTTTAATAAAAATTTATTGAAATAATATAATTTTAATTTTTTTTTTTAATTTTTAAAAAATAAAGTTGATAGTTATTATTTTTTTATATTATTAATGATAATTTTGGATAATCCTACTCCTACCCCTTAATTTTTTATTGTTAGATTCACAATTCAATTGCATATCTTGTTACTTGGACAGAATGTCGACAAGGCACCATGTGAGTCCCACCACGAAAAGCTACTGGTGGTTAAATTAAACCCAATTTTAATTTAAAAACTTGTGATGTGTCAAGTAGACATCACATCGGCACCAAAGATTTTTAAAATTCAAACAAAGACGAAATAAAGATAACTAAAAATAATTATATAGTTTCATAATTACGTAATTTAAATTTTTTTAAATAAATTATATAAAAAAAAGATAATTTTATATATTTTTTTAATTTATTTTAACTCGACTTAAGATTTGAATATAAAATTTTTTATTTAAAATGTCAAATTTTAATTATTAAATCATCCCATTAAAG